CATTAGGACCTCTAGTAATATATTTACTGAGAAAAATGTTGATGTGTTCAACACTTATTTTCCCCGCTGTATATTTTAATTAATAAAAACTAAAACAGCCTACAGTATTTTTAAATTCTTGTAGTTATAGTTGAAGTACGTGTTCATCAAATAATGGCTAATGTTGAAGTTCATGTAACATCTTGTGCCAGAAATAGTTCACTTTGTATAGAGCACTTTTTTTTTCAGTTGGAACGGTCCACTTCCTTCAGTTTTATCTCGGAGCCAGCAGAAATGATGGTGAGCATGAGACAACCGCTGCTGTCTGCATGTAAATTGGTTCCAAGACATTTAAGACCAAGGCCAGAAAAGAACCATGGTCAGTGAAGGAGAGGCAGGGCTGGAGGAATCTGTTAGCACTAAAACGAGTCTCTAACCTAACACAGCTAATTTTAATACACAACAGAACTTCCTCTTCCCTGAAACTAGGTGAAGCTAAAACTGAACCTCTCGGTGAAACTGCATGTGAACTTTAAAGTGACTTATAGTGAGAGCTCCACCACCTCTTTCATTAATCTAAAACAGAACTAATGAACCAAACTGTTAAGAGGCTCTTTTGTTTATCCAGGCTGGAAAAACCAGCTATTCCCCACCCCGCTTCATTTCTCGCTCATGTATACACAATACAAGGCAGCATTTGACAAGTTTTTTTTACATGACATCATGCAGTCTTTCACAATGTGGGTTCCTGCAACACAATGGCACTAAGTTTGTGTTTTAAAGTGAAAGCGACCACATTTTGTTTTTCTTTCTAAAAAAAGCTTCAAGAGTTTTTGCATCACAGTGGACATTACCTCATCTTCCACCTAAACTGACATATTTTGAGTAAGCACAAAAGTAAAAGAGAAAAGAGAAAAAAAACAAAAAACAAAAGCAAAAGTTGCTGTTGTGGCCCAGCTTGTGTGACATTCACTGTCCGAGGGGCTATCAATTTCCCAGCAGTCAGGCTCATTTTCTTTTAGGCAAAACATWAACAGCAATTTAGATAAGCAGAAAATTTGTCCATTTTCTGACAATCACGCTCGTAATTGAGCCAAACTTTCAGGTGAAACAGGCAAGAGGAAGCAGAAACTTGCAAAAATAAAATTTGTCCACTAATAAATTGAGGCTTCCTACAGTTAAAGAGGTAAAAATGCTACAATGTGTTTTTCATGACTGGATAAACTTGACATTTATTAAGGGTGCTTGTTATTCAGCTGTAGTGAAACAACCAATGCTGGCTGCTCCTAACTCTCTATGAATTCAACACACATGACAGCCTTCATCTACACACTGTAGGGTTTAAAATAGTGAGGCAAGTTTTTGGGGAGCTGAGACCGATAGAGCGAGATCTTCGATGGAGAAATGAACTGTGCAGCTGTGAACGATACAACTGGACAAAGACGAAAACAGCAGCGGCGCACTATGTGATGCTCTTTAAACATTCCAGCACAGCCTCCAACGGGACAGCGTTGAAGAGCCTTTTGTCTGACGGGTTACCTCATCAGCACTCATGGTGTAGAAACTGACATAACAAGCACTGATGAGTGAAAGACACCAGGGACCGTCTGTTTATAGATGCCTGCGTGAATGTGGGCTCAAATTAGGACACCAACCTTTTCAATCAGGATCTTGACACATGGTAAGTGACCCTCGAAACAGGCGCAGAGCAGTGGAGTGAGCCCATGCTTGTCTGAAGCCTGTGGAGATGGTGACAAAAGTAAAAAATATAAGGCTTAAAAAGTCTTGGAAATACATCCATCTCAGCAAACATAAATGAAAAAAGAGCTCCTGTAAAAGACACTCTGTCCCTTAAAAACATTTTTTAATAAACCATTCGTGAAATCAGTTACGCAAACTGCCTTTAACGGTACAACTTTAAATCGAAGACTAAATTAACAGAATATGCTAAGTTTGCTTTTACAGCTAAGCCACTTTTGTTGAAACAAACTAATAACGTCAAGTCCAGCGTTGTGAGAGTGCACACAACGTGGGAAAGGGAAGCAGACAGGGGCAGTTATTTTATGTGGTCATAGCAACCCTAGGCAGTAGGCAAATTAATGCAAAAGCAGTATGAAGCGGCCGGGACTGTAGTGTTCCTTACGTTGACATCTGCTCCCTTAGAAATGAGATAATTCACCACATCTGTCTGGCCATAGTCTGTAGCGTAATGAAGTGGCTTCCTCCCACCTTCCAGGGTCCGATTTACATCTTCAGCCTGACAGAAAAAAAAAAAAAAACACAACAAAAGAAGTACATTATTTAGTTGAAATAAGCTTGGTACCATCACAGACAGAGGTTTCAATGCACTGAAAATGGGAACTTTCACGACTGACTATTATTTCAGTTACATGCCGGCACTACAACTTTCATACATTGTCCTGCAAYGAAGGAAACAAAAATACATTCATAGTTGAGTACTTGGTAGCCTTCAAGTGACAAAAAACAAATCCATAACAGCTTTGTCAGTTCTGACTCCTCTCAAAATTGTGCAAAATCAATTTGTTTTCTGGGTAAGCACCAAGCWGATTATATTCAATTGTATTTATGGGATACAATTGGGAGCAATTCCAAGAGCTAATRCAGCTATTGCAATGTCTTCTTTTATTAAAACACAAACATTTGGTGCTTTTTTAAGTTGGTATACTTTGTTCAAGATTTCTCGCTCACCCTAACACAATAAAAAAAAAGGTCAGAGCATCCCAGGATGTTGCTGCTCTTGTAGTTTATTATTAAAGTTGAGTAAAATGTGAAAGTTGAAAGTTAGCTTTACTACAGAACRCGTGCATCCCCCTCCATATTGATCCATCAGCCTGGTGAACATTAAAGTTTATAAACAGATTATTTGCTAGCCGGGTTAGCAGTAGCACAAGTATCTGTATGAAACCTWTGCTTTATTAGTTTATTTTTGTTCTTTTTGTCTGCAGACATTGGAGTAAGTAAACTTTAATTTACCAAAAGTCTTAATTCCAACAAAGTGGACATGGTTATATTCTAAGCAAAACCATGAATCAGGCAACAGGTCCAAATGATAAAGAACCATTATGAGATTAGGGYCATTTCTAATAAATACCAGCAAGTTAGAAAAGTCCTTCTGGATTAAAACATTCAGTGTGTAGGCCTGGCAGGGTGCCATGTTTTACTWGACCCTTAGCAAGTTTCTGGAGGGAAACCCTGAACACCTGAGTGCAAGATGACATACAGCGGGTAAAATAAGTATTGAACACGTCACCATTTTTCTCAGTAAATATATTACTAGAGGTGCTAATGACATGAAATTTTCACCAGATGTTTCTTCCACACAAACAGTCTTCAAATCTTGAAGGTTTCGTGGACCTCTTCTATGAACTCTGATCTTTAGTTCKTTCCATAGATTTTCTGTTGGATTCAGGTCAGGTGATTGGCTGGGCCATTCCAGCAGCTTTAGTTTCTTTCTCTGAAACCAACTGAGAGTTTCCCTGGCTTTGTGTTTGGGCTCATTGGGCCTTATGCAAGAACATGTTCGTATTCTCCTAAATTTCACTTACTTTTGTTCGTACAAAGGG